CTTCGTTTCAGTACCAAATACTACTATTTACTGATTTGTGTGTTGCAGATCCGACCAAATATTTTGGGTGCGAACTGGGCGCACAGACTAACTTCGACATGAAGAACGAACGTTTCATCGTGAACGGTGAACACGACGCGGCGAAACTGCAAGAAATCCTTGACGGTTTCATCAAGAAATTCGTCCTTTGTGCAGCATGCGAGAATCCGGAAACCACACTGGTGCGTTGTTGTTGTTGCTGCTGCTGCTGCTGCTCATGCTGTTGTCAGTGATCTCTTTTAGTGTGATATTCCATAGTTTTTATTTTGTTTTTTCAGATTGTGAAGAAGGGCCAGATACAAAGCAGATGCAAGGCATGTGGCAATATCTCTGTCATCGACCCGAAGCACAAACTGTCGACATTTATCATGAAAAATCCGCCGAAGGTCGATGAGAAGGAGAAGAAGGAGAACGGGAACGGTGGTTCGAGTGACAATTCCATCATTGACGGGGAAATTTTAAGTGACAAAGACTTAGTAAGCAAAAATTTCTGAATTAGCCCATGTGCAGCGAATGTTTAACTTTCTTGAAAAACGTTACCTTTCGTTGGTTGCTGTTTCAGAACGGAAGTCTATCGGATGAAGTGGATGATGACTGGGCGGAACCACTTGAAGACCCGACAGCCAAAGTCTCCGCACAGATCGGCAAGCTGATCATCAACAAGGATTTGGATAAGCCAATCGAGGAGCGACTCGACATGCTTCATCAGTACTTCCTGAAAGCGAAAGCTAATGGCACGCTTCAGGTGAGTTTAATGGACTGCTCCGAAGCTCCCGCATTCCTTGTTCAGGAAGAGGAGGCCTGCCAGCATTGTATGTGGACAATTTGCAGGACAGCAAGAGTTTGTTGGATGAGGCTGAACGACTGGAGCTGAAGTCGAAGGCGACGCTTTTGCTGGCTGATGTACTTTTTGACAAGAATGTGGTCTCGCAAATCAAGGAGCATCGCAACACTCTTTTCCGCTTCACTGAACGTGACCACAAGGTTATTATTATTTTTTCTTCTTTTTTCCGAAACTTCCCCTTGCTGCATAGAAATTTTTTCATTATAAAATTTGCACTGTTTTTTTTTTTTCAGGCTCAACGCCATCTTCTGGGCGGCATCGAACAGCTTATTGCGAAATATGAGGAGACTTTGCTGCCAAGAACGTGCCGTATCTTGAAAGACCTTTATGACTACGACATCCTGGAGGAGGAAGTCATACTTGCTTGGGGTGAAAAGGTAGCCTTTTAGATTGACAGGACTGTAAGTGATTATTGCTGAAAAAGAGTGGGTGAACGGACACAACGGATACACTGTAATTGGCTTGTTTTCAGCCGAGCAAGAAATATGTCAAAAAGAAGTTGTGCGAAAAAATAATTGGTGTGGCGCAGCCGATTTTCGATTGGCTGAAGAACGCAGAAGTAGATGACAGCGACGATGAAGATGGCACCGTTGAGGTTAGTTCGGGGACTATATATCCTCTTCT